GGCGATATTCCCCTGGCGCAGTCGACGCATTTTAGTCTGTGGAAACGGGTTCACTCGCTTGGCGATTAAAAAAAAAAAAAGTTGCGTCAAGTTTCAGTACAATTCCGTCCATTATCTGGTTTGCCGTGACTCAGTCTCTCCACTGCACCCACTGACTATCCTACTGACAAACAGGTGTAATCAGGAAGTGGCGCTGCCGGACCTTGGGGAGTAAAACAACATTTAACTTTTAAGATTAACTGAAGGAAGTGAAACACCCTGGATGATTGGAAAAAAAAAAAGGTTGTGACACACTTTACAGCTAAAATGTTCATAGTGAGTGTGTTTATGATTCAACCAAAAATCTATGAGGTTACAACGCACTGTAATATTATAATCAACTACTTGAATATCCCACTGTAAGACAGGTGTATAGCCTACATTAAAGAGTTTCTAAAAAAGATAACAGTTGAACCGCTCAAAATGTTGACCTTTTGCAGTCAAACACATACACTCAGTTGTCAGTTATATAGGTACAACCAAGTTTAAATTCTATATTTTCATAAAGATTATATTCAGTTTTTGTTAAAACTCTTTTGGAGAGATGTGACTCAGGTGGTGCTGTTTTGTATTGGCATTAGCAACTGACAGGTGTTTCTATTATTAATGACCAATTCCATTTATGAGAGAGCAGGCAAAATAACAAAAACATTTCTGTGTTACAGTATTATGGGCTGCTCCTGTATAGATAAATGATACTGAAAATTTCTGGAGCTTTTATATTCATTGTGTAAATTAACAACAACAACAACAATAATAATAATAATAATAATGATAATAATAATAATAATAATAATAATAATAATAGACAGTATGGTTTCATTTAAATTCCTGCTGCAGATAATATTAAGTGAATGTGTTTCACCATGTTGCCGTTGCAGTCACAAAGTAGTGCCTGGACAATTCACTGTTAAAGAACAGACCTTTTCTGAAATTTTGTTTTTGTTTATTTTGGCAGTTTAACTTCCAGATGGATGTTGATTATGAGCATGAGAACATGAGCACAGTATTCTTTAAAACAGGCATGAGCTGAGCCAAAATAAAACCATATTAAAATACAATACATTCTTTTCTCCCATCTTTCTCTATCCCCTCACATGAACCCGCTGTGTGAAGGCCTGAGGCCCAGTCTTTCCGTTATCTCCCATTCCAGCTTCTGTACAAAACCACGGATGCTCTAGTGGGACTCCCCTGCTATTTCTAGGCATATTACCACTATCCCTGTCCCTGATCTCTTGTCTTTACTGTTGTAATTATCCCTAATGGGAGGAGGTATTTGTTTTTCTAGCCATTGCTCGTTCAGTTTCATTCTGGTGTAATGCTTTATCTCTCCACTACATGTTTATACAGAATCCTTTTGAAGTTTATTTAAATCTTTTTTTCTTTTTTTTTTGTGGTCTGGATTGTAAGTTTCATCCTTACATCCATCTGGTCTGCCAGGAGCGTTTCCTCAAATCTGACAGCAGAGATGCTGTAATCATGTTGCATAACCTCATTTCATTTCACGACAAATCAAAGGATATCGAATGAGAGCAGCATTCTCTATTACTCCGGGCCTCGCCCCCAGAAATGCACAGTGTACTGTATGTATCAGCTGTGTACAATAATGTGATTCAATGTTTGACAGAATTACAGTCTACTGTATACAGCTGGATATTTTATGAACAGTTAAATACACAATGGCATGGCGCTTGTAGAAGGAAAAAAAATTGACGCAAATAAGTCCCTGTGGACACTGAAAAAAGCAAATTGTATTGTGCAAACTAATTTGGAGTCTCGGAATAGTTAATGAATTCATTAAAATGAAAAAGCAGCCTCGTCTAGAGACTCATTAATAAGGGACTATGAAAAACAGTGGTTTTACACAACTAGATGACTGAATGTGAAATACTGAATTTACTGTAAAAATCTAAATTCATTGCAAATCTCCATGGATACCCACTCTGATATGAGGTGAAGATGTGGTGGAGAGGCACAGGCTTCCTTCTCCCGGCATCCATTCACAAGCATTGTGTTTACATTGTATGTGTTAATGATATTATGTAACAGTTCCCACACTAAGGCAGGGATATCACTTCCTTTTCTGAATAGACCCCGAGTTTCAAAACTTGCCTTAATTGGGAGCGTTCACAATTTCTGTGTTTCACAGTACTGTATTCTGTTAACAATATTATATAATCTGCTTAAATTTGAAAGAGACTCCCCATCCTCTGCTGGAAGATAAGTGTTATAGCTCTTACCTGCACATTCACACACACACAGCTCTACATTGTGTTATGTATTGTGAGAGTGAATACAGGGGTCCTCTGTCTGGTCACAGTAGCATGGTGTCAGTTTCAGCTGAAATCTTCTCAGTCACAATGAAGGCTCACCCCACTTACTGGCTTTCTGGCGACTCTGGCCAACAAGAGACCTGTTCTTCTGTTGTCAACACTTGAGGAGACTAATAAAGGTGATTTAAATTGCTGTGGCCAGACGGTGTACGTAACCATTATCCTTTGTCAAAAAAAAACGTGAGAGTCCTTCAGTCTTTTCATCAGTTTATATGCAGTCAATGCCGTGCTGAATAGCTGATGAACAGTTGTATCTGCTGCACTCCACTACACTCACTATATTTTAAAAGTTTCACATGCAGAGAAACTTTTCTCTGGCCTGTCACAAATAAGTACAACAACATTACTCAATGGTCTCAATAGCTATCGGAGGCCATACTCTATAACATACACTGAGGCAAATAAAGCTGACTCTCTACCTTTAGAGTGAATGGATTAATAACTGCAGTGTTTGAGCACACGTGTGTGGAGGACTACATCCGTCAACATTTAGTCATATAGGTACATGTCAGTGAGGTGATTTGTTTTCTCTCCGAGCCAAGCTCATGTTTTTGTGTGTTCATGTGCACGCACACACAAGCGAGTGTGTGTAAAAAGGAATTTACACATTACTGTGCCAGGTACAGCCCATCCTAAGGTGTGGAATGCAAACTGAAATGAAAGAGAGATAAAGCAAGACAGAAAACAAGTAGGAGAAAGTGGGAAAGACATAGACATTGTTTCCTCTTTGGTAAAGAAAGCACACAATGTTTCCATTCCTTCCTTTACCAAACAAAGCCCACATTAGTCTATTCTTCAGAGAAATGATTTTCGTGCAATGCAATAATAAACATATTGTGGAAGAGAATGGCTTATTAAATGAGTCATGAACAAGGAATGACTGAAAACGCCTCTCTCAGAAGTGTGGTTCACATTGCTGGCAATCAATCAAGAGGTAACAGTAAAACAGTCAGATCTGGGTGTAAAATCAGTCTGGAATCAATCAGTTATGATTACCGTTCAATATGTGTCTTTTTTTTATTTGATAAAGTATCAAAAACATCATCAGGAGGAGCAACAGCTAATATCTACCTGGTGTGCCAGTCGATAGTAGCACTGACTGTTTAATCTATTTCCTTTTCTTTCCCCTAACCTAATTCCTCACGTTTCCCAGAATGCCTTTTGGCAACCACAAGTGAACAGACAAGAATATGCCAGACACAGCTGTGGTTTTGTTTGTGTGGGTGGAGAGAGTGATAGCAGTGATGATAACATTGTTCCAATCTAGGAAATGCAATATTCTTCACTGAAATTGCAAAGCGTTCTGTGTATTGTGTTGCATTCTGGTCAATTCAGGATGATATCACTTGAGAAAATGACATATGTGTTTTATCCTTATTAAACAAGCTATTTGCAGCTGTTTACTGAACTTCATGCAGCCATCAGCCATGAGACAGTCTGGTCGGGCCAGGGCTAGCTTGTTAGCATGCTAACTTCAGAAGAAGAAAAGTGATAGAAATAAAAGCAAAACAAGTGTTAACATTGGTGTTGCTTTCCATCGTTGGAGACAGGCAAATGAAGGAATAAAGTTTGATGTTAAACTCCAACATTTCTTCTAGACTGATAGGTAAACAGCTATTAATGCTAACGCTGGCTATCTTGCAATAGCAAAACTTACATGTAGGTCCTTTAAGTATTGTTCCAAAATTTTATGTTTTAAGTAGCTGTTCTGAGATCAAATCAGCCGAAGCTATGCAACAAAAAATTATGTCACATTGTATCGTTACCACATGTGACTGTGATACTGTTTCTGAGCATAAAAAAACTCTTGTAATCACTTATAAAAATAAGCCCTGAACATGTTCATTTCCACCACCACAGATGATTATTGAAGTCAGAGTATTATTTGAAGGCCAGTGTCTAAGCTCTGCAAGTGTAATTAACATAAGCTTCGGTGATACAAATAAGATTATCTAGAGACCACACTGTTGTTTTATCAGTTCAACACTAGTGCCCTTTCTCTACTAATTAAATGTAATTATTTAGATTTGGATAAACAGAATCTGCCCACTCTGTCCCTGTGTTTGGCGTTAGTCATCCATGCTCTGACCCCATCTACACACAGGCATGCACACACACACACTAGGTCTGTCAGTCAGTAACTAAAGTTGCACCCAGAGGGGCAGACTTTGATCAATGCACACAAATACACACACGCACGCACACAGATGTAGAGTAATATATTCGTGGTCATGAACAATCTCCTGCAACAAACAAGCAAAACCAGACTGGAGTCACAAAGGCAAGCATAGCTAATGTAATAAATATCGAACCTGCAAAAAATTAAACAATTCACCGCAGCAATGCTTACAGGTAAACAAGCGAAAGAACTCTACAGAGGGATACATCATAAGCACACAACTGGAGGTAGTGCATTAAAAATAATGATGCATAATAAATGCTAGATAACAAGATTCCTCTCTTACATAATAGATGAGTCCTGTCAAATCATGCCAAGTTGTGTGTGATTATTTGTTTCTCAGGCCAACTATTGTCTTCCAACATCAACTTTGTGTGGTGAAATTTATTTGACACAATGTGGTAAAAGATTTAAAGGCATTTTTATTAGAAAATCTTTTTTTTTTTTTTTATAAAAGCTCTACAACAATAAAAATACGGTGACATTTTTAAACAACAGAACAAAATACTTCTGGCATTATCTAAAATAAACTAGAAAAAAAGAAAAATCTATAAACATATTGCTCAGTATTACATCACAGGTACAAAATTCTGTCACAAAAAGGGAGAAAGACAGTTATTACAATCATCAGTTAGTAGCCGTGATTCATTCACAGGCATACGGAGAGAAAACAGGCTCTCAAGGACGTTTTGCAATCAAAGGGTTTTCAGATCTGACTGTGAGCTCCCACATGACACTCAGGACATTCACGTGCCTGCAGTTGTTCGCTCACTGATCAACTATTTGGCCTTCAGGCTTAATGAAAGAATCATCACATTTATGCTTTTTTATCCAAGCAATCTGATGTGGCATATTGTAAACCCCCTCAGCCTACATCTGGAGGATTAAACTGCTTTTAACAGGTGCTCTGAGACTACAGATTATGCCTGAAGTTATGGACACCCATCTAAATATGGCGGTCTGTGTGTGGCTCATCATGTGGGGAGGCACTGTCTTCACTCTAACTACTTAAAGTCCAGTATCTTTAATGAAAGTGATTGCTTGTTGCAGCTGAATTTATTATTGACTTCTTAACAAGATCCATGTCTAGGAGAACAGACAGTTATTGAACACGAATTGACGCCTTTTTCCTTTGTGACAGTAGCCACGCCAGCTTCAGGAGCCTCTCACTTTGTGAGCCCTGCGGGTTTCAAACAGCATTTCTTCCCTCAAATGAATATTTCTGGACTCTCTCAAAAGGAAAGTCATCGTACTTTGGATTCTGTTTCAAAGTCTTGATCATTATCAAAAGCATCGCTGCAATCTCTTTGTTCTTAGTCGGAAACTTTGAAACAGAACTTTCTTTCCGTTTTCCTCTTAATCAGGAACAATGTGGTTGTTTCCAACACTGCAGTGGCAGCAGCAGTAGCTCTCTCTTCATCTGGCCTCCACTCAGCAGAACCAGGGAAATAAATCCATGGGTGCTATCTGGGCAGCCCTCCAGCGACCTTCCTTGCTGGCTTCACATCAGTGTTAGTGTCTCTCTATCTGTCCCCACCTTCTCAGTCGGAGTCATCACCGCCGTCGTCGTCTGAGCTCGGGCCCTCCTCCTCTGAGGAGCTCGGGTCTTTGGTGCTTGCTTCTGAGATCATGCCATCTGAACTGTCAATCTCTATGGACGTCTCTGATAGGTAGAGGTGGATGGCCCTCGATGGGTGGCTGGGACACACACACACATATGCACATACAGAGGGGACAGGAAGATATGCACGATGGGGAGGTAACAGCAACGTAGTACACACACACACACACACACAGGGATAAGCATTCATGCATGACATATTCATGAATTATTTATGTACATGCATGTGCATAAGTCACGCACAATGGGGAGAGGACAAAGACAAGCAGACAGCAACACAAACACAGCAGCATGGACAAAGGGTTAGCATCACACAGGGTTAAGTCGTCCCAAGTTGAGAGCAAAGGTTGGTTTAAAATATCTGTTTACCCATCTGCATCTGATTTGGGTGAAATCATTTCCTTCCTTCGCCAAGTTTCTCAGTGAAAAATTCGGTTTGAAGTCTGAATAAATATGATCAACCAAAATGACAGTGAAGTTGTCAACTTTTCCTGAAGAGGCTTGGCTTTTGAAGTGTGGTGCACACGTTATCACAACACATCTTTCACAGTAACCAGTTATGGCAGCTGTTACAGAGAGATCTGAAAACCCAAGAGAGAGGCAAAGAAGTCCCACATGCCCAGAAAGAAGAAGTTTTGACAAAATAGCTCATTGTTCAAAACAGACAATACACCTTCAGATGTGGTAAAAAAAAAAAAAAAAAAAAAAAAAGCCACTTTGTCAATGAAATTTAGAATTAATATTGTATTTAATTAAGTGCTTGTAATTTTTTAAAATAAAAGTACGAAATGTCTGTTTCCAACAAGTGCTCACCATTGGCTTTTGATTATTTGATATTTCTGCAGCAGTCACAAAAATCATTCTAACAACACCACAGAATCTCCGAAAAATACAGCGATACAACTTCAGTAGTGAAAAAGAACAGAAATGTACACCAGCATCCTCCTGCAGGTTCAGGTAAACTACAGCAAAGATGGCTAATATATTTGACCATTGAAATTAGAGCTGATAAAAGCTTTGTATGGGGTTTCATAATGTTTCCCATCATCCGGTAATTAAAATAAAATTTCAATAGAAGTCATGAAACAGCTCATTCATTGTTCCAAAGTTTCTATTGTTTGTTGAAATAATAAATCAAAACATGTGGCTTTTGCTGCATTAGTATGTTGGGGGTCAAAATGTATTAGTAGGGAAGTAAACAGCAGGAATACAGCATTGTTCTACCTCTACATCATCAAAACATTCACTCTAAACAGGAAATGTGTTTGGAAGCCCATTTAGCTGAACAAGAAAAGATGAACCGATAAAACAGTTGGTTCCCTCAAGGAATGAAAGGCACATGGTGATATCATGGGAGATACACAGCAGTCTGGCTAAAGTTCTACAGAAAAGGCACATTCTCGTTTTATTTCTGCTTCATGACAGCTGCCCATCAACTGGTCCAGGTTTGGTACTGCGGTTGGAGAGGAGACAGGAAGTGAAGTGTCCAGTAAGAAAAGAGCCCCCAGGCCCCAAGAGGGAGCACCACATGCCGCGATCCCCAGAGTCAGACGGAGGGAGAGAGAGAGAGGAAGTGTGTGGTTCTTCTTTTCCTCTCTCTGTCCCCCTCTTCCTCTCCCTCTGCCTGTCTCTTGGTCTTACCACGCAGTGGGATCTTTTCTCTCCTTGCAGGGAGCCTCCTCATTCCCTTCCAGCTGTCTCTGTCTCCTCTTCTTGCACCTCCTGCAGGACACGATGATGACGAGGAGGATGACCACAGCGGTGATCCCACCCCCGATGGCCAACGCCAGCATGAGAAGTTCGGAGAAAGAGGCTGTAGGTGAGAAGGAAACACAGGAAGCAGACTGAGTGTGCTTTAATGACGAAGCAAAACTGCCATCACTGCTCAGAGCTGTTTATACTGTTGTATTGTGCATTTGTAAATGAGTGTCTGTTGTAAATTCACAAAAAAGGAATTTCAGTTTTTAGCCATGCTAGGGATGACAATGTCAGCTTGTCAGTCACTTTGGCTGAAATCTCAACAATTACTGGATGAATTGCAGTGAAATTTTACACACACATTCATGGTCCCCAGAGGAGGAATCCTAATGATTTCCTCCAGTGCCACCATGAGGTTCACATGTGTGGTTTTGAGTGAAAAGTCAACAAATGCTGGCTAGAATTGATTGTAATGACTTTGGTGATCATCTGACTTTTCAGCTGGAACCAACGTCAGGTCAAAATTTCAGTTGGTTGCCCATTTGGTTTATTTCCATCCTGTAAACCTACACTAATGAGGTTCCCGTTAGCCTCAACTGTTTGTGTTTTGTGTTTAGTACTAATTAGCATATAATGGCATGCTAACACAGAAAACATCAGCATGTTAGCATTGACTCTGTGAGCATGCTGACATTAGCATTTAGCTTAAAGCACCACTGCAACAAAGGACAGCCTCACAGAGCTGCTAGCATGACTGTAGATTTTTAGTCTGTTGACATTTTGCCTGTTATTTTATAAGAAAATAAAATGTAGGGAGTAAAATGAGCAGCTGCGGTTGTTTGTACTTACTCTAAATCACACAGAAAGACACAGCAGCAAAATATGTAATTAATTAATTAAGCTCATTAAAGGTACTTTAATGATTAATATGATAATCGTAAGTCACAGATTAGGTTATAACTGTACAGCAGCCCACTCTTTTTTCCATCTATTGTTCATAGACTATAATAGTGATGAGAAAATTAACTTTTAATTGTTATTCATATGTCTGGAACATTTGCAATCTAAACCTAAATGTGACAGTGCTTTAATATAAAATTCATATCACATCAAACCAGAAATCATTCTAAAATTATAATAATTTGCTTTATTTCAATCTAGATTGTGCTGTCCTATTTTATGTGGCTTTTAAGCAAGAGATGAAAAGCGGATGTTTTCAGAGACACATGAAAATAGACAATATTCATGACATATATAAATAAATATTTTGTCTGAAAATGAATCTGCTGACCTGTGGTGACGACACGGAGTCGAATCTCTCCCACCGTGCCGTGTACATCTGGTGGATTCTTGACCTGGCAGATGTAAGTGCCGTTGTAGGTGAACTTGACCTGTCGAATTATGATGGAAGCGTCACGGCCCATGATGTCACCGGCCCAAGCGACGCGCTTCCTGAAAATGCCCTCGACAGGAGGATAGGGTCGCTGCTGGTAGTGGAATACCTACGGGTGGAATTTGAAGAGTGGATTTGTTTGGAGTAACAATGAGATTGATTGGTTGGATTTTCACAGACAAAAAGTCACACCAAACTGCTGGGGAAGGATGATATTTTATTCTGAAAGAGAAAGAAAGGCAAGACATGAGCCCGGACCTGTTGCATATTTTTCACTCTATTCTCAATATGCACACACACACTCACACAAGCACGGCTGTCTTGGATGCTCCATAGGGAGCCTGATGACTCACCAGCTCCTCTCTCAGTCGACTGAGGGGGTGGATGCTCCCTGACACAATGAGGGAGGTTTGAGGTTTTATCACATTTTCTCCCAAACACAGACACGCACACACTCACCGATTCCTCTCGGCCTGGAACGAGGGGTCTAAAGCTCCAGGAGATGGTGAGGGAGTTGGCGTTAATAGGAGCGGATGTCTGGAATGTGCACTTGAGACGAACATCAGTCCCATTCACTGCCTCTACATCCCCAGATGTGTATACACGCATCCCGCTGACCTGCAGCACGCCTGCAAAATACAAACATGTGGCACAGCAGCAGAGTTTACTTCAAAGCAGAATCCATTGCAAAGAAAGCAAAATCAATACAGACATACATATGCGAATGCTTTTTCAAAGAAATACAAATACATATACAAAAATACAGCACAAAAGGTGCAGGATGAATTCACCTTCATCAGTAATTTCCTGCTTAGTGAGTGCACACAGTGTACCCAGTGACCCTACCTCTGCCTACGCAGAGCTGCTGCAAGACAAATCACTAACTCTAAGTTGTCGCTATAACTGTATTAGATACATATAGTATATTACACACTGAAATCTTTCAGATTAGTCCAAATGCTGAAAGTGTGAGATTAGATCTGCAATCAGTAAGTGAATTCCCTTCAAAAATCTACTTCATTACATCCTGAAAGTCTGAACTGATTCAAATCTGTGACATGATGAATAATAGCCACTTTCGCTACACTGCTGCAGCTGAGACAGGGCTGACATTGAGAGTCTGCTGTATATTATATGGATATGGACTATATCAATCTTTACAGTATGTGATACACATATTAGATGGAAAATGAATGGACTGGAAGAGCGGAGAATGATATTGGCAACAATCTGGCTCTTCCACATAATGATGGATGGAGTGCCCCAGAATGGAGTTAGCACGGACACACACATGCGCTGCACTGAATCACACACACGCATGCACTGTGCCAGGCAGAGACATGCTTAAAATGGAGTTCCTGCCTGGCAGGTGGTCAACATGACGTCAGAAACCAGTCAGTCACATCTCCCTCTGCCCGAGACTGTTGAGTCTTGTTTATCAAAGCAGATCCGACTGTATTCTAAAGCTAAAATCTAAGTCTCTGTGGAAGACTGTGTGCAGGCTGTCTAGTCAAAATCACCTTGGCTATTTTTAGTGAGAGCTGCATATGCCCTAATAATATCAGGAGCCGTGTCTAGCTTTATTAAAGTCAATGCCATGGCACACAGCAGACCGTCCCTCTGCAGAGCTAGCAGCCACAATCTGCTCAGGGTACCCAAGGCTTGTCCTAACATCATTAGCACACTCCATAAGAGGACCTCGCAGAACAATTCAAACACTTGATGAGAGCTCTAACTATCAGAGACACTTGAGTCTGACTGAAGGGCTGTCTGTGACTCAATCGTACAAGTGCATCCCAGGCTTCAGTTTTTATTGATGCAGTCAGGAGGCATGTATAAGGGTTACATGCAACAGTTTCACAGTGCTCACTATGTTTGTATCATAAAGATTTTCAGCCCTAAAAAGCTGGATCAACCTCTGCTCTGCAATTCAAAATGAGGGTTAAGTAAACTAAGATGGGTTTGCCTAAAGTTGAATGGTAACATAAGGCTATAGGCATAGAAATAACAAAAGTCTAGGAAACTAAGCCATATCGTTTCCCCTGCATTGTAATCACAGCGAGCATTAAGGCAGGAGGTAACTAGGAAAATGTCAGCGGGGTTTTGGCTCCTCCGGCAGCGTGTTCTGTTCCTTATCAGGCTGGAAAGAGTTTCCTGTGGGCTGGGATGAGAGAGCGGGACAACCAGACAGCCTCCACACAGCATTAAACAGACGGGCTTCTCTCTCATCGCCGGGCCCTAACAGCACTCTAACAGCCTAATATGTTTTAAATGAGCCGATGAAACCTGGGAGGAATGTGAACGAGTGAGCAATACAGGCAGATTACATACTGTAAGAAAATGTCCATCTTAGCAATTGTCGGGTCTTGTTTCAGAATTTAAAATGTATTTTTCTTTAGTGAAAAAAAACATGTGCTAATGCAATGACACTGTCACACTTATTTTGGGATTACTCTGCATCAGTATGTTTAAAATAAGACAGGTACTTCAACTTGTATTTATAAATTGCTGCTTAAGTGAAGAAAGATGATGAAACTATTTGGTTTACAATGCAACAAATCTTACCCAACTGGCAGATATTTCTGCTGGCATGAAGAAAAAGAAAAATGTAACTTTATTTCAATATAATAACTTGATGGATCTCTGATGGATGAATTTGGTAGGGAACAAGCTTTCTCTCATACCATCCTCTCTCCCTTCCTCGTCTACCTGGCAGTGTATAGAAACACTGAAGTTAGTGGATTAAACTGCATGTGTTTAGGATATTCATTAAGCAGATTGCATCAGCGCTGGGCTGTATCAGTGCAGCCAGTAATTACTCCCTCACTGGCTCAAAGGTGAAGGCGTGTGTGTCTGTCCGTGGACGGGTGTGTGTGTGTGTGTGTGTGTGTGTGTGTGTGTGTGTGTGTGTGTGTGTGTGTGTGTGTGCGTGTCAATCTCAGTAGAAGGGTCTGAGCCATGAGTAGAGGTTTCATCTACCATATTCTATGTGAAGGCTGAAAAAGAGAAAGAGGAAATGTGTGGGAGTGGAAGCAGAAATGTATGTATATTGAATTGCATGGCTCACAAAAATGACTGCTGGTCCTTTTAAGAAGTAAATGCATCATTTCAAACTGTACTTGGTTTTCTGTGTGCGGCCATGGGTTACACGGCAATGTCAGTCTGTCATTCCGTCTGTTCATCACTTTGGTCCAGACTGAAATATCTCATCAGCTGTTGGATGGATTGCTTTGAAATTTTGTCCAGATATTAACGGAGCCAAAACAATAAATCTTGATGACATTGGATGTAAGAACATTTTGGTAAGACTCTATGTTGCCCTCAAGATGAATTTTATTAACATTGGCGATCCCTTAACTTTTAATCTAGCACCATCATCAGGTCAACATTTTAATCTACCTTTGGTTTAAAGCAAATACCTGAAAAACTATTGACAGGGCCGCCTGAGCTTCACTTTGTGTTTGACACTAATTAGCAAATGTTAGCATGCTAACATGCTAAATTAAGCGTTGGTGACATCAGCATATTTAGCCCAAAGCACTGCTGTAGTAAAGCCTCATAGCTGTAGACTCTACAGTCTGTTTCATACATTGAGGAGAATTCATTGCTCATCAAATTCATATCCACAGTTAAACCCCTCTATTTCTGCATCCTCATTTCAGAGAGTATAGAGCACATGATTAGCTTAGCAATACAGTACAATGCCTATCCTCCTCAACCAAATTCTTCAAAAAGCTCACGCTGAAATGATTCATCATGCTTCATAAATCAGGAAAGAAAGCAGGTCCTCCAGGCCAAAACACCTCATTTTGAATTAGCCATTCTATTTACAGTACATTGATTTAAATAAGCGTTGCTAATCTCCTTTCAACAACAAAAAAAGAAATGGGAAAAAAAACGCTTTCAACTATGCCATCTTCTGACACAAGCTGTGCTGATTAAGAATTAAGGTTAATTGGGCCTTTTTGAAGACAGAATGGATATTAGTGGAATGACAGAACAGTTAGAGCTATGTACAGTGCCTCAATTACTACAATAATTTGTCCCTGCAGCTAAAAGTACATGATCACCATTTAATCAGTCATTAGCAGGCTCTAATTGGTGGGGAGGATGTGTTCCATTACATGAGTGAAGACATTAAGCGTGCAGAATTTTGATCATTTAGAGAAAGAGAGAAGAGGGATAAATAAGCAGAAATGAAAGAGCGAGCTTAAGTGATGAACAAGAGCGGGATGATTGAGTATGAGTGAGTAAGAAGTGTATGGATGGAGCCCGGAGGATAACAACATGATGGAAAACGCATTATTCTACATAAGTGCAATCTGTAAGGAGGAGATAAGATAATACTGCTTTGTTGTTTGCTTGTTTGTGCGTCCATTCTTCTACTCCAACTTGTCTCTCTGTCCAGTCTAAGTCGCTCACTTGTTTATGTCTGGACATCCTGCCAGTGCCGACCACACCCAGTGTCCAGAGGCAGAGAGAGATAGCTTTCACGGCTTATTAAGATGGAGTTATGTACCCTACAGAGGAGGGCAGAGCCAGAGTGCAGACAAATGTATGAATTTATCCTAATTATGTTTCAAATATTGCGGACACTGTCTGACATGCTGTAGTTTTATTGCAAAATACTTGCAGAACAATGTAAAACAAGGCTATTTCATAGGAGATTTAATTCCAAAAACAATTTATATCTTATATCTTTCATGTAATCAGCAGGAACAGGAGAAGGGGGTATTAACTGAAAGGACACAAAACTTTGAGTTTCTTTGGTCAAGTTGGCACAAAGGTAGGCTACTGCTGAGTAAAAGTTAACTCTGAGTAACGCTGAGTAAAAATTAAAGTTAATAAATGCCGTGAAATGTGGTAAGACTAAATTAGTCCTTTTGTCAAGTGTGCACTTTGTTTCCTGATTACCTGAACTCAAAACAAATATAATGACAAAGATTTTCTAACGAGGGATTATTCAGGTCAGCGTCTTATGTAACACAAACTCCTGGAGAATGTGTGTGTGTGTGTGTGTGCGCGCCTGTGTGTGGGGGAATATTTTTGTCAATGTAAACTCCAGATGTAGTACAGATATGGCATCGAGAATAGGTGGAATAGGTCGTAAACTATTATTTTCCATTGTTATGCATGTGTGTGTGTGTGTGTGTGTGTGTGTGTGTGTGTGTGTGTGTGTATGTTGGGCTTGGAATCTTTCAGTGGGATCACTATTGGCACAGGTCCATACATACACATACACACACACACACACACACACACGGACACACTCCATTAGATGTACCAGTGTTGGCATTGGTCCATAATATCTGTCAATATATCCAATATATCACAATAAGATGAACTTGCTGAACCTTTAATGTACTTTATTCTACCTGTCAACACTACTTGGTACACACTGCACTGGTCCACTTGCCTGTCTGAAGCCAAAGAGGGCAAATACGTTCATCTGCTGTAAAATAATCAAACCAAGCCCACTCGAGTGTGATTAGGTTTGCTTGGCTTGGCAGTCATTCCAAGATTGTATAAAAGCCTTCCAAGAGGGGCAGAAAAAATATCAAGTGGTGTTTGACCTGCCCATATAATATTTCACCCAATGTCAAAGAGTGTGGGCAGGTTTTAAAGCGCA